GGGTCCTGTGCGCTGAGTTCCTGGAGCGCTACTGAGGCGAAGATTTGACCAACCACAAACCAGCTGAAAGGAATCAGTAAAACTCCAGAGTTGCCGTACTCTCAACTCACAAACTGTACGCGTTGATATAGAAACCTCGCAGCTGGGTCGGGGCGATTTCGGACAAGTAGAGAGGCAAGGTGGATTGCAGCATACCGACACCCATTCCAGAGAAGAGTTTCGCTGCAAGCCAGTGATCCCATCTTGTTGAAAAAGATTCAATAAACACGCTGACAACAATGTCGAGCCAGATTATATAGAACGCCATTTTCCGACCGAACTTTTCTGTGGCATATTGCAAGAGCTGGAGAGTAGTTAGTCACTTGCCAGACCAGCCTTGGAGGTCCGAAAGCCATACAATTTGACCGACAGTTTGACCGGCTGATTGGACACCACCCCATGCAGAGATATATTTGCCTGCGATGATCGATGTGCCTGGGGAAGCCATTTGTCGAATGAAACCTTTGTTGGAGACAATACCCCCATTAAGATTGATTTCTGTAATTAGATCAGTACATCTAAAGCTAACTAACAGCTTCACAAAGGCAGTGGCTTACGGTAACCATCCAGCGATGCGCTAAACGCCGCAGTCATGGCAATCAGGGATACGGTCTTGAACCGTCGCACACACTGCCAGACACCAAGGTCGTCTTCGCGAGATCGCATGATGGGGCCCATGCTCTTGTTAGGCGTGCCATCTCCCTGGTCGGAAGAAACATTCTCAATATTGTCAGCGTTGGCCTTGGTAACATCCATCGTACATATAAGTAGGCACAGTATTGCCCAAGGAAAGAAATATCGCAAGCTCTAATCAAGCGAAGATGAGTAGCTAGGATCTTTATATTATTCCCGGCTCTTCGGCCGAGCTTTTAGCACTAACAAGGATTGGTTTGCTAACTCTATTAACGACAAGGAACTGAGCTACATAGACTACTGGGTGTAAAACTCAATCCACAAGTCAGATCCTACAAGGCTAAACTCGTGTGGTCCATTTGCCGACTCGCCATTTACAGGTTAGCATTGTTTTCAGCACGAATGGTTGGTTGGCTTTATCACAAGCCTACTGAGTGCCCGAACGGCCGGCAATTGTTTCGCTCAGAATTATACCGAAGCTATTAGCTAGTGGCTGACTAGGATTTATGAAGGATGAGACAAGTTTTGAAGATCATTATGGTCAGGGAGTTGAGGGATCCCCAGTTGTAGGATCCCCAGTTGTAGGATTGTGTTGTCCCTTCTTATTGCAAGCTTGCAGGAATTACTCCAGAACAATGTGTTTTTCTTAGGAGCTCTTTAATCTTACTTTACTAACTCGTATAGTTCACAATATATTCCAAAGGAAATCTTGCTATTGAATTGAATGCAGCCCAACGGCCTCTACCCCTCACACTCCCACTAGCCCTAACTAGAGATTCCCCGGTGGCGTAGCGCCCTATAGGAGGAAATTCAGCCCCCTCCACATTCCATCCATCCTCAGTCTTCGGGAATTTCGGGTGAAGGCCGCCCCGAGCCCCTTTCTAGGAAACCGAGGCCGAGTAATCACAGGTAAACCAGAAGAGCTTCCGAAGCTGCAACAGTGAAGGTCGCTTTCCCACCAGAGACACTGACTGTCTCCACGCTCTCTGTACCCTGAATAGCGCAAGTGTCATTGACAAACGTCTGGCCTGCAACGGTCGGATTCTGACCCTGATCGACCCGAGATGTAGCGTACGGAGCCGTCAGCCGTTTAGCAGTGACGCTGGGGGACGAAAGCCCGGACAGGGTGTAGGTCTGCGACGAGCGCGTTCCGCTGGTAGAGATATAGTAGTCGGAATTGTAGAGAAGGACCCGAACAGGAGAGCCAGCCTTGTAGATGGCGTAGGCTGCGTATGCTGTATCTTGGCTATCCAGAGACGCAATCTGGTCGGCGTTGGCGAGCGCCATGGTGGCGAAGTAAGCACCGTAGTAAGGGGACCCAATGTTGTAGCGGCCCCACCAACAGTATTGGCCTTGAGAGTTAGATTGTGGTAGGGTAGGTAAGAATTTCCGGATAACTTACAGTTTCCAATGGTACCCTGGTGGAAGTAGAGGGCATCTGTGCCCATTAGGACCGTCTGCATAACGTAGTCCAAAATCCAGAGAGCAGCACCAAAAGTCGGGCTGATACCGCCGCCGCCTTGGGTTGCTGGAATTTTCTTTTTAGCATTTCGATCAAGTGACAGTGAACGGTCACGTACCGGAGTTGGTCTCGCCGAAGATATGCGGCTTGCTTTTCCCAGCGGCAGCAGAGATCTCAGCAGCATAAGGCTCGATCTGGGTAGCAATATTACTATGGCCCATAAGAGTGGCTAGGTTGTAGGAGCCAGATGACTGAGGATAGTTGTGAGAGCAATAAACCTTCACATAGTCATTCGCATCTCCTTCTTTCGCGGTAAGGCCAACGAGGCTCATAGGCGAAGTGCCAAAGTAGACACCTGCTGAGATGATATCAGTTGCAGAAAGATTTCCGCACACCGCATCTTGCCAGCTGATTTGGGATGCTTCATCTGCTGCAGCTGTCCAGGATGCGCCATTGGCAATAGGATCGCTATCAACAAAAACTGAACGCTCAATTAGCGTTTACACAGTCAGAGCGAGGTGATTAAAGACCTACAATTGGGCTCATTTCCTAGTTCAATGGAGTATAGGTTGCCCATTTTGCTCTGAGCGAGAAGGGCGGCCGAAATTGTGTTGGATATGTCATCCAAACGGCGATTCAATCCAACAATGACTTCTCCGGCATAGCTTGCAGCCAAAAAAATAAAGGATGGTCCGTAAGTCAAAGTCTCGGGGGCAGCACCTGAGCTGGCCACTGTATAAGTGACAGCCTCGGTCGACGAGCTATCATACGTCGCTCGGTCCCTGCTTACTGTTAGCGATTTTTGGGCCCATAACAAGGTATCCATACTGGGTAGTGCCTCCGATCCTCACAGGCGGCCATGTTCCTGTCAGACCCTTCAGGTTCTCTAGACATGTCATCGTTGATTTGACATCTTGGATGTACTCAGGGAATGTAAAAAACTCCAAACTTCACAATGAGTAAGTATATCCATCAATACCTTGAATCGAGACTCACGATACACCAACTGGAGCTGCAGAGAGCTGCCCACTTGAGTTTGAAGGCGGGGATGTCGGAATGTTGAAGCTCAAGCCCGAAGCCGAAGCCGAAGCCGCGAGACCGAGAAGCGAGACTGAGATGGGAAAGAAAACCATGACTTCGGATATCCTCGACGCTGGGTGAGTTGAGTTGTAAAGCTGGAGGAATTTCTCCGTGGCAAGTCAAATCTCTCGGGTATACATATGTAGGCTACGATACAATCAAAATCCGGGGAACCCCACATTTTACTAGCTTCACGTCCTGGTCACTATTTCCCATGCCAAACGATAGTTTCCTAGCAAAATAGGCCTTTGGTCATGGCGTTCAATACCCTGATCCATGCTATACAGGGGTCGGCTATTGACGGGCTACATTAACCCGAGTCCTGCATATGAGGTCTCAGCCGCGTGATCTCTTGATGCCAGGATCTAGCAACATCTGCTAAGATCATCTGTTGTCTATCGCTTTGAGACAGGGAAACGCTACTCAGGCATGTTTGGCCCGAAGCACGAATCGCCCATACTCTGGCTAGTTCAGTGTTCATAGACCAACTGTGAGAAAATGCCGCATCCCTGAATATTGTGCGGTTTTCCCTTGGCTTCCTTGGATTGAGACTTTGGGATGTGTGCTGAAGACATTTCTGCGAGGCTAGCTGAGACTACCATCAAAATGTGACAAATTCTGAACTATTGATTTTCTGTCGTTAGTCTACTGGGCGCGAGGCAGATAGGCTGGACATGATAGGATGAAATGGTAAGTGTTTATCAGGTGCGTAGCAGCATTGAATTGGTTCAGCCTGTCGATCTGTCGTCTTTGTCTTATAATGCTTGGTCGCCCAAATCCCGCTCGTAATTATTCACAGGAAAAATAGCTAGTATACATCGTCAAGTCCGGAATAATTGGCTCATTTAGACATACTCGGCGGTAATGGAAATATCTCGCGAACTCTTGCAAAGTCTTTCTACAGCTGCTCTTATACCCGGAAGAGACAGTAAATCACGCACTAGTTGGGCACAGTATGTCAATGTTCATGATATTTCCAGTAAGTTGTGGAGGTGAACAATTCCTGCGTCTCTAAATTACGCGTGCAAGTAGGTTCAATGGCCTCCTCAATAGTGCCCAGAATTTCCATTCCGCAAATATTACTATATTCTAGAATACCGGGGCAAGGCCTAAAAATAAGCAATAGATGATAAAATAGTTGATTGAAAAATAAGTGCTTGCGGTCTTTTTCATACCGCTATTCTATGCCACCTTGTCCATCCTCTCTCCTATGCCTCTCATCAAACGATCCAAGAAAGTCAAGCCTAGAAATGTTCCGTATTACGTGGTCCAATCTCTTTTATGTGTTCCAATGAGTATATTTTAGTTTTTGCCCAGAGGAACTTGTCTACTTTACGCAGCCTATAGCGCTTAGAGTTCACCCCGTTTAGGAAGGCTTCAACTTCACGCAAATGGCTATAGAGCTGACTATTCTATATAGGAAAAGCGAAATTCCAAAATTCAAGTAGTAATAGATATATATCTTTTCCTGTAAAAAAGTTTTTGTATACTTGAAATCTCCGTAAAATGTTCTAGGCTGGGTAAGATCTGCACGACCTGGCTTGGCCCATGCACAGCCTCCTCAACTTTCTTCGTTTTCCTCAGCCTTTGTCTTCATCTACCTGACGAAAGCCGTGTGCTATAGAGGACTAACCCTGGTAGGCTATGATGGTTCTCATTTCTGTCTTCCCATGGCTTTTTGTCTCTTCTGCCGCTTCTATTGGTCATTAGCGTCTGCCCACTCACGCTGACGCAGATCACTAGGGCTTCGATCGCTTGCTAACTATTGCGGCAAGTGTGCCCCAATATGTCTATCCCGCTGTTTCTCTGCTTCGTTCAACCGTCGTTCGCCCAGGGGAACTCGACGATCTTGGAAGGGTGGCAGATGGAAGATAACAGTCGCTCGTCATGGGATATTCTCTGGACATGTCTCGTCACCATTTTTGCCTGCACATGGACGGCTCTGCATCCCCAGGTTCCTCCATATGGCTCGTCTGGCGTCCTGATCAAACATCTCATATGGATTGGAGCCATCCTAGCTCCGGAGTTGATGACTTTCACGGCTATGCAGGAATTCTGGGAAGTGCGGTCAATAGTGGCGCGTTGCAATGCCGCTCAAGCGACGGCTATCGAATCGTCGCCCGAGCGAACAAAGCCTCCAGCAGAGGTGCAGACACGTCAAGTGCAAGCCCCTTGGACCTTTCTCCAAGGATTTTGTATCCGAATGCGCGGGCTCGTCCTGCAGACCAGGGACGATTGGGTTTATCCCGTGCGGCCGGCCACTGTCGTGCCTCTCATACAGGCCGGGATCATTAAACAAACTGACTTGAGAGCCTGGGAAATCGAGGACCGGGCTAAAGCTGACTCGCTTGCAAAGGCATTCACTGTCCTGCAGAGTCTATGGGTAATATGCGACGTTATCGGCAGAGCAGCATATCGTCTACCTGTCACCCCGCTCGAAATTTCCACAGTGGCTTATGTGGTTTGCGCCGTGATAGCGTACGCAAGCTGGTGGCATAAGCCAAAGGACATGAACACCCCAATCGTCATCCATCTGCCATATGCTCTTGATGGCGACGAGATCCCACTGCACATCCGAAACATCTTGGAGATAGAAGAAAAACTACGGTTCCATCTGGCCCAAGATGGAAGCGCCGAAAGTGAACGGGCCCAAGACGGAAAAGAGGAGGAACCTAATGGAGTCCTTCCATTTCTCGTTTGGGTTTGTAAACACCCTAGCAAAAGGTGGAAGGTGTTCAAAAGAAAATTCAAGAATAGGCATCACCCAGGCTCGCCAACAGCGGAGGCAACTAAAGCTTCTCCATCCGCTGACCCTGATATGGAGGCATCGGGCACCTATTCACCTACAGATAATGTTGGGAAATCTGGAGTTTCTGGGCCCACAAACAGCTTCCAAGAAAGCCTAAAAGTGGGCCAACAGCTAGCACTCGATATGTTAACCTTCATTATCGCGCTTGTATTCTGTGGTGTTCATGTCGCCGCGTAAGCAGACGATTCTAATTGTCCACTTTTTATCCCACTTGCTAATGAGGCATGTAGATGGAACTTCACCTTCCCAACTATGGCCGAGAAGACTGCCTGGCGGGTCTTTTCAATTATTGCGTTTGGTATATGTTGGCCAGTGATCATATTCGGCGAACTGCCGCTCTTCAGGATGTGGTGTACTTATGGAGCTGCTTCCCAAGTCGCACCGGGAGCTATGGGACTTAAACCCCTAGTACGTAGTGGGGTCTTGATCTCTCTTTTCATCTACGCTGTTGCCCGCTTGGGAAACATTATCCTCATGCTGATATCATTGAGAGCTCTCCCTGCTGGATCCTATATATCTGTGGATTGGCTCGCAACCATCCCGCACATATAGTCTATTATCCTAATTGACACCAAGCAATTGTATACATTTACTAATTATACGAACTTATTCTGCCTGTCACGATCTGGGATCACTTGCTACGAAGACGTATAGCGCTCAGCGTTCAAAACCCCGCCTAAGAGTTTGGGATTTCGAAAGAACCGGAGTATGTCGCCTCGGGTGCTGTTCAAGATTCAGAGACATTGGACAAAGATAAACTTGATAGACCCGCCCCGTGCTTCGAAAAACGACTAGTCTGAATCCTTGGTACAAAATACAAAGGGACTAAATCCAGCGAAAACCGTGTGAGCATTTACGTTCGACACTTGGCCATTGTCATCCCATGCAAAATCTCAGTGATACAAAATAGGGATGTTTGGATAAAAGCTGAGCTATCACCCACTGGAGAAAGACACCCCAAAGTGTTCGCTGGGATGGCTACAGAGAGCGATACTGCGTCTCGTCTCCATTCGGTGCTCATTTGAAGACTCAAATAGCGGCGAAACAAAAGTGGTATATGCCTGTTCGCCAACCAGACGTATGCTTTGCAAGGCATATACTCTGGTCGGCGAGTTAAACGGCGACGACTTCGTTGAGATATGCCAAAGACCTCGACGGTTCATGTACGTTGACCGTCGGGGTACTAGGCAAATCGGGCCCATCCTGAACTGCGACCCTTGCCTATGGGGCCTACACGCATGACAATGTGAAAGTTATACCCAAGGCAACATCGACCAAAGAAGAAGACCCTGACGCAGCGATAGATGTCCACCAAGACCAAGACAGCCACAGCCACTGAGACAACTGATTAAGGCAGCCATTCAATCCAGCCAGGTCATGTCAGACGCCGCAGCATTCGCTACGCCCGTTTTCCATGAAGTTACAAGTTCTTACGGGCCTAGGTTTACGGCGGAAATGGTAGGAATCATCGTGGAGATGTTCAGAGACAGGCGTTTAAGCTTGAGATTGGGGCTTAGTAACAAATCGATCTAACGAAGTTTTTACGGCTCATTTTGAAGGCCCTTTGATCCTCTCGAAGTAAACTTGCTTGTTCTCCACCCTCTTGGTGGTGGAGAAGAGTCGCAGAAGTAGTGGGCTAAGGACGGCTCTAGGCTAAATAAAATAGCGGGCGGCTAGCAACACAACTTAGGGTAGTTAAAATGAGGAACAGATTTTTAAAGAAACAGGAATCGACAGCTATTAGACGATGCCGCCTCTAAAGAGGATTGACTTGCTAAATAGCGCCAATATAGTGCTGTAAGTAGTTGAACTAACAGTGACGTATTGAGAGTCAACCACTGCGAAGGGGGTATGTATGTATGGTATGTATCTATAATGGTCAAAGGCCGGATACCTGATTTTGTATTGTTGCAATTATGCCTTATCTTAGACCACTCTTGATACCGTTCTATACAGTGCATTGTGAATTTATTCACCCCATACCCACACTATTCTTTCTTATCCTGCCTGCAAAGCCTACGGCG